TGAGTCGGCTGGTAGGAGAGGTGAGGTGGGAGAGGACTGATTTGAGGTGTTTGGCATCAAAACAAATCATGGTGGCCCTCCTCTCTTTCACTCATTGCCCAAAAGGAGACAAAGGGGCATTCCTACTCATCCCCCTCCTCACTAGTTCGGACAGCATCAAGGGAAAGGAGGAAAGAACCTCTACAACTTCATCTTTCATAGCAAAATTCGAGCAGAGCTCAAACAAGAAAGTTGGGAGGAAGTTAAAGAAGGAAAAAGCTAGGAAAAAGTGTGAAAATTAAGGTAATGACCTTATCATAACTTTTCCTTTGTTTTTCTTCTAGCATATAAGATATATATCATATGAAAGACCTTTAGTATTGTTCTACATGATTTAAGTGTGGAATAATGGGTTGGAAAGTGATTCTAAGTCCAAAAACGGACTTAGAAGCCAAATCGACCGGTTTGCCGGAAAATAACCTTTTATAGGTTATTTGTGTTGATATGGGTTTTGTGATGATAAAACCTTGTTAGGAACTTGATTTAAAGTATTTTTGAGCTTCGCCGGAGTTTCGTCGGAGTTGGTCAAAGTTCGCCGGAGTTGGTCAAAGTTCGCCGGAGTTGGTCAAAGTTCGCCGGAGTTGGTCAAAGTTCGCCGAAATTAGTCAAAGTTCAATCGAGAAGCGTAGAACGTGCTTAAGCTTAATTAAGGTGAGGATGACCGACTATGTTACTTATAATCTTTGGGTTAATTTCATGGGATTTCCTAAGTGAATACAAATGTGATGTGCATGGGTTGTTAATGGTTAATTATGCCTAAATAAAACTACTATTGATTATAAGTATAGTATGCATGATACACAAATTTATGAATAAATTGTGTATGTTTAGATGTTATGAATATGTGTGTATGATGGTTGTACCAACCATGAATTTCATTTGAGATAGTATACTTTGATACCATGAGGAGAAGCCATGAAGGTATGAAAGTGATACTTGATATTAAGGCCAATCATGCATGAAGGAAGAATTATATTGAAATAAATAAATAACTAGCATTGAAATATTAGTTGAAAATGTTAGTTGAGAAATGGATGAATTAGATCCTAAGAATGAGAATTATAAAGAATCGGTGATTATGAGCCGGGCTCGGGACCGATGTAGATAACGGTGATTATGAGCTGGGCTCTAGACCGTGGTAGATGACGGTGATTATGAGTTGGGCTCTAGACCGTGGTAGATGACGGTGATTATGAGCGGGGCTCTAGACCGTAGTAGATAACGGTGATTATGAGCTGGGCTCTAGACCGTATTAAATAATGATGAATTGATACTAAATGAACGGATTAACTATAATGTAATAATGCTCTAGATTGAGGGCCTCAGAGATTTAAACTTCGATTATACTTAGTATAGTTGTCATTGTACTTGTCAAATGCTTCCAAGTACTGACCTCCCCTTCACGGGGGAGACCACCTCACAGTTTCAGGTAGAACTTGAAGGTTGCTACTACCAGCCGCTGTTTCGGGAACTTTCTGAGAAGAAGACTCGGTTCGTGTTTCTTCCGTTCTTGTTTTGAAAACAATATGAATAATGCTCATGGATATTATTTTCTGAATATACATTTCGGGGGGTTTGTATGCCCATGTTTGCCAAGTGTGGCTTGAACACTTGTAATGTTGTTTCCGCTGTTTTAAATGAATGATTTACATTATGTTTGTTTATGGATGTACTACGTGTGAATGATATTCATGACGCCTTGTATAGTATGGAAGAGTTGGACTGCAGTTGGCTATTCGTACTGTACGGCGGGTTGTTGACGTGTCCGGCTAGGTCCGGGGCGTGACACTCGGGTTAATGGAGAGGATCCAAATTCGATAAAAACTGGGGTGTGTGTGCATTTTGGAGTCCCGAAGCACAAACTATTGGCAAGTACTCTGTAAGATCAATTATGTTAGTGGCTTTTAGAATTCCCAATAAAACATTATTTTTACAAAAGCCGATAGTAATGAATACAATCATTGTTCAAACCGTGAGCGTAGCTCAACGGGCAGCGAGGGAGTGCCACAAGGGTTTTCCAATCTCGACATAGAGCCTCTGCAAGCATCGGGGACATAACTCTACTCTCTATCTGTCACATTAGGATTATAATCCAATTTACATCCTCCCAACGTACCGTCCGGTCGGGGTTGGGGACCCTCAGAGATGAGGTGTCATCCTTTTTTTAAAAACATTGTTCAAAGTGACTTTTAAGATTTCCAATAATAAATATGTGTTGTCTTTATTATGGAGGACCTTATATATTCCAATCGGCCCCTCATCAAGCTAAACGAGACGTGGGATATTTGACGTGTCAATTCCCATCAAACAAGTGATCTAATATAGTGAAAAAGTATTTTTTGAGAATTGTGACGACACTATCTTTTGCTTCACTGTTTTTAATTTTTAGCGGTGTTTATTATCGAGATCATCTAATTACTATAAGCTTCTGAAATTATCACCAAAGTTTATTCCTCTTTATTTATTATAAGCTTTTGAAATTATCACTAAAGTTAATTCCTCTTTATTTGCTAGCTCCTTTGTCCCCTCTTTTTGTTAGATTTCATCTTTAGTTTATATGATTTTAGCAGATTCACCGGATCTAGAAAATCAATCCAAGGATCTAGTAACATGCTTGGAAAAATAATATTGTGTGATTTATTCTATAAATATTTGGCATCGAAAGACCATCTGCTCAACTATAATTTCAAGGCTCTTTAAAAAAAAATTTATCTCAATGCAATAATTTTTATTTTCTACAACTAATGGTATTGAGTTGTTAGTATTTCTGATATTAATTTCCAAAATATATTTGATACTCACAAGTATTATTATCAATTTCTTAAAAGCTTTAATGATGTAATACTCCGTACTAAAATTACAATTGGAAACAGTGATTCAAATTTACCACAAAGTTCCTCCAAATGTAAGTTCGAGAAGAGATAATCACAAGTAAAATTTGAATATCTATTTGAAAGAAAAACACTTCGCAAAATTAATTACTTCGTATTTGTCATGCTTAGCTCTTACGTACGGACCTAAAAATTTGAGTGTGCATGCTTCGGATGATATAAAGGATATGAAGAATAAAGGGAAGTGCATAATGGTTTGAGTACGTAACTTTGCCAACTTTCCTTTTTTGGATGTCCCATTAATTTTATCACTTTCCATTTTAAATAACAAATTTGTGGTTTCAGTTCATTCTCTCTCCTCTGCACAAACCTTAATCACACAGTTTTTACTTTATTATTTCTCGTGTCGATCAAACTTAGCAAATTGATTAGGGACGAAGGGAGTATTATTTAGGTGAGATCTCATCACTGAAAAGAAGAAAGTGCTATTGTGAATGAGAAGGTCTGGGATGCAATCGATCTTTGTGTGACTTGAAGAAGCAAATTCTTTGTGAATGTAGGAGAAGTGGAGAAGAGATGGGGAAAAGGGAAGTGAGAGCAAATGTGAGAGCAAATTCTTTGTGAATGTAGAAGAGATGGGGGTGAGTGCTTGAGACTCTATGAGGACAGAAGGTGATTGAAAGTTCATTTGATAATATTAAAATTAATTGAATTAGTGTAGGAATATTTCAAACCAAGAATTGTTTCACTTGATTGATATGTTGGTAAAAGAGAATATGAAGACTATTTGATAGGTTGGGAATTGAAAAAATTGGAATATGAAATCACTTTGATTTTAATGTGTGGAGAGCAAATGATTGAGAGCTCATTTGATAATATTGAAATAAATTGAATTAGTTGAATATGTTGAAATTATGGATGGACTCGGGTCCGGGCCGGGTCCGGGTCAGGCCTAGGCCCAGGCGGGCCGGCGGGTCAGAAATGGTGGACCCGGGACCGGCCTGGGTAACCACCGGGTCCGGTCCGGGTCCGGGCCAGGCCGGGGTCATTATATTTTTTTTCCTCTTCCTAATTAACCCCTCTCCCACCCCCAACCCCCCAAACCACCCCAAATGGCCCAAAATACCCAGCCCAACCCGAAAATTTAAAAAAAATGAAAAAAAAAATAGTTTTTGGCCCGAACCGGGCCCGGGCCTTGTTTTGGGTGACCCGAGCCCGGACCGGAAAACCCACGGGCCGGGCCTACCCGGACCGGTCACTGACCGGGCCACCGGGTCGGGCCAGGCCGGAACAGTACCGGTCCCGGGCCGGTCCCGGGTCGAGCCACCCGGCTCGAGTCCATCCCTAGTTGAAATTGATGAAATTTTGACTACGTCAATTAAACTGGTATTTTATAAAGTTACTTGTATTCACGTGCATTTCACGGTACTATACTAGTGGGACTAAAGGCTGGTCACTTTGCAAAAATAAGACAAAAAAATAAACTATGTTTTGATAAGACTAATTATGTGTGTTGGACAAATATACTCTTGTTATTGAAATTATTGAAATGCCTTTATTCATAACAAAATAATAAAAAACAAAATAATAAAACATAATAAAAAATAAAAAAAATCGTAAAAATATTAAAAAAATTAATAAAAATATTTAAATAATGATAATTAAAAAAAATAAAAATAAAAAACGCAAAAAACAAAATCATTGCCGCCTTTACCGCCCCAGCACCTCTAATCACCAGGGAAGAAATGCCTCATCCATTACGAATGTCATATTTATGGCAGATTCAATGCAAATTTTGGCATTCTCAAAGAGTAATATGCCACTTTTTTAACTTTTTCAGAAAAAATGACATTTTTTACATCGGTCAGAGGTGGTTAGGGATGGACTCGGTTCGGGCCGGGCCCGGTTCGGGCCTTGAACCGGCCGGACCTCGGTTCAAGGTATGGGAGGCTCAGAACCGGCCCGGGTAACCCCCGGGTCCGGGCCGGGCCTCGGTTTTTTTTTTTTTGGCTTTGCCTAAGTTAACCCCCAACCCTCCCCCTCACCCCAAACCAACCCTAACCACCTCAAATGGCCCAAAATACCCAGCCCAACCCAAAAACTTAAAAAAAATCATAAAAAAAAAATTGGGCCGACCTGGGCCCGAACTGGCCGGACCGGTTCACCTTTTGAAGGGCCCAAGCCCGAACCGCCATCCCACCGGGCCGGGTGGCCCGAACCATCCAACCAACCGGTTCACCAGGCCAGTCTGGGCCCACACAGTAGCGGGCCGGTCCGGTTCCGAGCCGGTTGGCCCAGCCCGAGTCCAACCCTAGAGGTGGTGGTGCAGGAGGCAGTACAAGCGGTGTGAAAGGTATCTAATTTAAAAAAAATTAAACTAAAAAACGCTACAAAAAAATCACCTCTGCCTCTGCCGCCCCAGCACCACCATCTTCGATCATCGGGGAAACAAAATTCCACATGCATTACGAATGCCATATTTATGGAAGATTCAATGAAAACTTTGGCATTCTCAAAGAGTAATGTGCCATTTTTTGGCATTTTCATAAAAAATGGCATTTTTACACCGGTCAGAGGTGGTGGTGCAAGGAGGCAGTACAGGCAATGGGAAAGACATCCATATTTTTTTAAATTTTTAATGGAGTTTTACTATTTTTTTTATTTTTTTTAAAATACCATAAAACGAATTTTTAATTTTTAATTTTATAAATATTTTATTAACTTTTTTATTGTTTTTCTATGATTTTTTTAAAAAAAATTCGAATTTATTATGAATTGAGCATTTAATTATGACTTTTGACTACGTTTTACTCATATTTAAAGGACTGGTACCAATGGAATGAAATCCCACAAAGTGACAAAAATTCCTACCACATGAGACATGCTCGGCTGCTATAAATGATGAATGATTCTATTCATAATTAGACGGTAAGCCCCTGAGGAGCTCCAACTGAGGGTGACTTCGCTTCTCCACAACAATGACTTGGGTGGTAAGCACCACACCGGCCACGGAAGCAGCATTCTGCAGAGCACACCTGGTGTGACCTTGTAATCCTAAATACTAACAGATTTCAAATACTAATCCTTTCACGTAAACAAAAACAGTTAATAGCAGTAAACTGTGAAATGTTCAAGATACCAGCATAAATAAGCAAAAAAACACTGTTAAGACATACAAGAATTGCTCTATCCAAATGTCTTAAAAATGATAAATAGTTCTTGATTGTGTTGTTTATGTGTTTTTCAAATCCAGTTGTAACAATTTGTCAACATATTGTGGTGTAATTCTTTTGTGAAGAACTCCTCATTGTAACCTAAGAGATCAAAACTTGGAACAACCCTGGTCACCCAATTTATAACCTCAATACAACTAAAAGCTAATGGTTTTGTAGTTTATTTGATCACAAGAACAATGACAACAATCATTTTAATAACCCATTTTCATTCATTTTCATTTACCCCAGTGCCGCAAAGGCTCCCCCACCTACGGTGGGGTAAGGGGGGTTGGATGTACGCAGTTTTACCCCTGTACTAAAGCACAGAGAGACTGTTTCCGGATGACCCATAGTGAAAATCGCGTCCAAGATTGCATGGACCGACTGTTGCTCCATAACAAAGAAGCGAAGACAGTTTAGTGAGCCATTTTGCTTTATTCCATCATAATCTCAAGCCAAAAAATAATGAATCTTTGGCTCCTAAGTAGCACGGAAGCGGGAAACGGGAAACGCGAAACGGGAAACGGGAAACGCGAGAAACGTGATTTCTAGAAAAAATAGGATACGAAACGTGGGGGAAACGCGTAAATATTAAAAAATATAAGGATATATTTGTAAATATTTTTTCATATGTATACAGATTTTTTCATTGATATATATATATATATGCACATGACATTTTCATATAACTTGCTTAATAGCTCAATAATAAAAGCATTCTACATGTTCAAATTTAGAAATTATTACATAATTAAACATAGAACGCAATTTATTCGTAGCAATTGCGTTATGAAATGCCACAATGCTGCTACGAGGATATGACACAGAAAATCACTGTTTTTTAAGACACTATTTTCCATCATAGGACCTCTTAAAAAAGAAAAAAAATGAAAATTCACGGTTTCTGAAACCCTTATTATTTAGGGAAACGGGTTTCCCAATTCTTCTTAATTGCGGAAACGGCCCCGAAACGGGAATTTGATGTTTCCGAGTTTCCGACACGCTTTCGAGTTTCCGAAACGGGGAAACGTGAGTTACGTAGAGTTTCCGTGCTTCATAGTTTGGCTCCATTGCAAATGATGGAAAATAAAAAAATAATATCTAAAGTTTATCTAATCAGATATCTAATCAGATATAAAGTTTATTCTTAAAAAGTGATATGTATTAAAGTTTAAACAATGTTACAAGAACCGGACCGGACAGGCAGGTCAACCAAGAAACCGGACCCGACATCCAACCCAATCTGGTTAGCTATCCACCTGCAATTCCAGCAATTTCTATTGCTATTAAATAACAATCATTCTTGTTGTACCCACCCTTATACCCACCATGTCTGTGAAGGTTTCCTTTTGTCTATGAATCCGGTTCAGAGATGAAATATGTCTTATTTTGTCTGTGCAAAATTTGCAGTGTGAACGAGATTCATAGACAAACATGATGGGTATAAAAGTGGGTATAAGGGTGATTACAAATAGCTTTTTTGATTAAATAAAGACTAAGAAATCTAAATATATGTAAAAATAAAGCAAATTAATCAAATGACTTTCCTTTATATTTTCCACATTCAAACCATACATAAAAGAAAGTTTTCCTTGGGGTTGTTTCCTTTCCTACCTCTTTCAAATTGCAAACATAGCATTTGAGAAAAAGAAGAAAACAATAGGTGTAAAAAGAGTCCAAGAACCTGTTACAATGGCAATTTCTTGCAGAAGTGCCTTTCTTCTATCTCCAAACCCAGGTGCTTTAATAGCAGCAACGTTAAGAATGCCTCTCAGCTTGTTGACAACTAAAGTTGCCAAGGCTTCCCCACTAACATCTTCGGCAATAATGAGAAGTGGAGCTTTTAATTGTGTTGTTTTTTCCAGAAATGGAATAATGTCTTTGATTGCAGATATCTTTTGATCCGTAACAAAAACCCTGGCATTTTCAAACTCGACAATCAGCTTCTCAGAAATGGTGACAAATTGAGGGGATACATATCCTCTATCTATCTGCACAAATCAAACCACCACTGCATATGCTTCATAGGGAAATAAAAGCAGGATGACATTAATAGGATGCACTCTTGAGGGTCTATTTAGCATAATTTTGGGAGGGAAGTAGGGAAAAAAGAAGAGGTGGAGTAAATAAAAAATGTTTTGTTTTTACAATGGAGAGAAGTGATGATGGTAATTTTCATGTGGGATCCATCCCAGAAAAATCAACTTTACATTCTCTTAAATTTCTTTCCTGCTTCTCTCTATCCAAACAACATAAATATGCAGTCATTTTGCGCTCATTTTCTCTACTCTGCTCCTTTCTTTCTTACTTCTTCCCTACTTTCTTCCTTATCCAAACAAAGCATTAGCATTTGTTTACAAACCTCCATTCGCTCTTCTACATGGACAGTAGTTTCAAGAGAGGAAGATGACTCAATTGATAACACACCATCAGGACCAACTTTATCAATTTGCACATTACAACTTTGCACCCAAAATGATTTGCAAAGTTTAGGAAAAAACCACTTTGTATGTAAAAAAAATACAATGTTTGGTAGGTGTTAAATTACATGCAAAGTCAATACGATGCTTTTGCTTTATAAAAATCATTTGAAGTATTTAACACCCTCCTCACATACCCTCATCAAAAAAAATAGTTTGACATGGACAAGGCAGAATATTTAAAAAAGTGTCCTACATTTTTAAAACCATTTCACATTCCTACTTAGTTAAAAAAAGTGTACATATTAAATAATAAAACCAAACGAAGCAAACCTTTTACATTCCTACTTAGATTTCACAGGCAAAGTAATTATTTAACATGCTCACGCCCAGATATACTATGCTCCCTGAGTCCCTGTTATTGATAGCTACAAAAGTAAATGAGGATTTTCATGCCATTTTAATGAGTTCTATTTACGATGCCTTAGGCTCCATTTTAAATACTACTCTCTCCGTCCCTAAAAGGATTGCCAAGCCTGACCGACACGTAGAATAATAAAGTAAAAACTGTGTGGTAGAGATTTGTGCAGAGGAGAGAGAAATAACAGGAGCCACAAATTGATTGATTAAAAGGGAAAGTGTCAAAGTTTTTGGGACAACCCAAAAAGGAAAGTTGGCAAAGTTATAAGGGACGGAGGGAGTACTTGCTAATTTTTTCATTTATAAATTAGAAGTAAAGACAAATTCTTCCAACCATTAAAAAAGCAAAATTCAGGAATCAATACAAATACCTAAAGATTCATAGCTTTGGGAGATACACCTTAGATAAAATGAAATCTAAAATTTCAAGTGGTGGTGGATACTGGATAGGCTACTCGATGATGAACGAAAAAGAATGAATAGTTGTGAGATTTTGAGATACTTGAATAGATGATGAATAGCAGACGGCAGGGACTGTTTTTAGGCTAGAAAGGCGAAGATCCGGCATCCATTATACATGGAGAAGTGAAGGAGAGAGCTGGCTTGTTTTCGCGTGCGTCAGGTTGCTTGCGATTAGGAATTGGGTTGGATTACTGGTTTAGTGACTTAGCGAGAGACGCTGATAAAGGAGGCGGGTGGTGCAGTAGGGAGACTCGCCGCCTATGAGATAGACGGGAGAAGGCTTCTCCGGAACAGTGCAGTGGTTTTACTTTCACCGAGGAGGCAGTGTGCCAGTGCAGTAGTTTTTTTTTTGAGTCATTCTTGGTGTACCCCATTTTGGGTACCCCATTTCTACTCCAATTTGTGTGGTTCGCAAAAGGTCAGCCATAAATTAATTGTTCCATTTATTATGAATTGCTCTTGTGAACCACACAAATAGGGGTACAAATGGGGTGCCCCAAAATGGGGTACACCTAGTTTTTTTTGAGGAAATGACAAAAAAGGCAGTTTTGAATTGCAGAAAAAAAAATATGAATTGATAATTCATATATTTTTCAGCACCTGAATCGATAAAACTCCAAAAATTAAATATTACTCTTTTCATCCTTTTATAATTGTCTCATTTTTTCCCCGGCCGTCTTCCTAAATTTGTATTATACCATATTTGTAATATTTGTGTGCACTAATTCAATTTTATTTTATTCTCAATTTATCAATTAAATATAGCCATTTGCACTATATGAGCTTATGAAATTTGTGGCAGATAAGATGAAGATAGCATGGGTTCACCAAACACAATATTCGTGTTAGGTGAACAAATATTTAATCATGTCTAACCAAGCTACACATAACACAATATTTGATCGCATTACCTTACATGCAAATACGGCCTACTAAACTACACGTGCATGCAAAACTGAAAAGTTACAACAACAACAACAACAAAAGCTGATGAGCGAAAATTCAAACATGCATGTCTGTAATGTAAAAGAAAAAGGTATTCCTCACTGCTCATTGTTGCTAAGAGAGTGTCCTCGCTGCTTTTTTCCATCATTACTCATTCTATTATTTAAGGCGGGTATCAGACTTGAATGCTCAGGATAAAACAAGTAAACATCACTAGTGTAGCCTATCCTTTTTTTATCCTTTTAAGTGACCTGATTTATCAATAGTTTACATGACATATATAAAAAAACAGCTATATATTACCTTACCTTTTCATGAAATAGAATCAGGTTATCTTCATCCATAGCAAACTATCTATAAGATAATTTCAAATTTAAAAAATGACGTGAGGAAATGATGCAGAATACTAAAATATTACATAATAATATGTGAAAGTAAGCACGCATGGCATACCAGATCAACATAGTGTGTTTTTGTCATTTGTGCAGGATCAGACATCCTCGTCAATGTTATGACAACATTGTACTTGCTTACCCCTGGTTCTCGATTTCCTCTACTTTTAGCCCTTACAAGGTTTCCAAATGGATATGTACGATGAGTGACTATCTTAACCTTTCTTGAATCAGAATCCAATGCCTGACAAGTGATTTAAATAAATCACACCTAGTAGCTAAGTAATAATCTCATGAAAGAAAAAATACCTCAAATAATGGAACTGCATACCTTTTATGTCACCATTCCAATGCTAGCTGATTGCTAGGGACCAGGTCATTGCTTCAGCTTGAATGGACTGTTACCCCACACATTGCAGATGCATTCAACATGTTCACTGGCTATTGCAGGCAATAGAGATGTAGTTTTGTGAGAAGGTCACCATTCATTGACCCTGATCTCATCTATTGAATGTTTCCTCGGAGACATCAAATCAAGCACTGAATGGATCTGAGATAAACATGGATGTGACACATCTCCTGAAACAAATTCATTAACTTCCCCAGCTACCTCAATCGCACTGGTTCCTGGTGCTTTCTTGAGACCTTTATCACCAATCATCCTTCTGATCTTACGGGCAGCGTCCGATTGATGTGCAGCGAGATATATGTTGGATAACTGAACATAAGCGCTGTCTTCTTCAGCACCATTCCCTTCTTCTAACAGTAATAGCTCCTTCACAGCCAGCTCCGCAAGGGTAACATTATTATTATGAATTCGGCAACCACTCAAAATCGCTCCCCAAACAGAGGCAAGAGGTTTCATAGGCATCATCCGGATAAGGTTAATGGCCTCGTAAAGTTTGCCTGCCCTACAGAGCAAGTCCACCACACAACTGAAATGCTCATGTTGAGGAATAACGCCATATAGGGATTCCATGTTACCTAACAAAAGCTGGCCTTCTTTTTCTAGTCCTGAATGTGTGCAAGCTGCTAAGACACCCAGAAGGACAACACTATCGGGCCAAAGCCCATCTTCCTTTTGCATTCTATCAAGACAATCAATCGCTTTCTCGGGAAAGCCATGTACCCCAAACCCTCTAATCATTGCTGCCCATGAATGTGTAGTCCTTTTAGGCATGGCCTCGAACACTTCTACAGCCGTGTTGATGCACCCACACTTGGCATACATATCAACAAGTGTAGTTCCGAGAAACACATCAGACTCCAACCACTTCTTATTCTTGACATACCGATGGATCCATTCCCCTTTCTCAATAGCCCCTAAATGGGAACATGCAGCAAGGCCAGAAGTCACACAAAACTCATCAGGCTCAATTCCACGTGCAGACATGCTTTGAAATACGCTGAGCGCCTCTGAGGCCAAACCATTTCGTACATACCCACTCATAAGAACATTGGCTTGAACAACATCTATAATCGGAATTTCATTAAACACTCTATGTGCATCATCCAACACTTTGCAACCAGCATAAAACCTGATCAACGCGGTCTGCACATGAAAATCAGAGAATGACATGGAATTCTTGACTATCAAACAATGTGTTTTCTTGCCTTCAGACAAAAGAAGCCCATTTGCGCACGCAATGAGAACAAAAGGAAAGGTATAATTATCAGGCAAGAGAGTTTCATTGTCATGTAGCAAAGTAGTGAAGTAATGCATGGCGAAATGAGGTTTGGAGCTGCTAGAGTATGCCCTAATGAGTGTGTTGTAGATGAAGATGTTGGGTGATTGAACTTGGGCAAAGAGTTGAGAGGCATACGAGAGGTCACCGGAACCAGAGAGTGCACAGAACTCCAAGAGTTTGCTGACGGCGTAGGTGTTGTGGTGGAGACCATTGGTGATGAATATGGCGTGAATGACTTTGAATTGGAGCATGTTTGTGCACTGTTTCACCAGCGACATGCACCAATTCCATATCCTGAAGCTCTTGTTCACCACCTGGTGGAGCAGTTTTAGCAAACGGGTCATTTAGGGGGTGTTTGCAATTTATTCTGCTTTTGCTTCCTTTTTAAAAGCAGAAGCATAATCAGAATTAGTTTTTCAGAAGATGTTCTCCCTCAGCTTTTAAATAACTGCGTTTAAGAGCAATTTGGAGCATCTGAAAGCACTTTTGTACTTTCACCCAAACACTCCAATATCTACTTCTGCTCCGTGAAGGAGCAGAAACAGTTTTCAGAAGTAGATCCAAACACCCCCTTAAGTGGATATGAAGGGTTGCATCATATGAAGAAACAAGAAGTTCAGAAATAGCAGTTTTGCTGAATGATTTCATTCCATAAAAATCAAATTGGTGCAAATATGTAAAAATCATAAAAATACAATATGATTTTTATGATACTTAGTAACAAGTATTTATATTGCATAATCATAGCAACCAAAAGATGGGCAAATAGGTTTTATGAAATATAATTTGTTGTAATGAAGAATTGATGATAACAAAACAAAGATATGAGTCTCATACAAGCAAAAGAACACACACTTAAAAGATAGAAGAAATCAATTTACCTTGTAAGAAAAAAATGTGGTGCTAGAAAAATTCCTTGAAGTCTTTGAAATTGACCAATAAATGCTAAGCTTCCCTCTATTTTTCATTGTATTTCTCATACTCTCTACAGTGCAATACCACACCAGATTGAGGGGGGAAACCAAATCTCAGCACCTACAAACTCATACCTTTGAGACACCGAAAACAAACTCATCTATACACTTACGTGTTTCTTGATGAAATGTCAAGAATCAGATTGGAGAAGAGGTTTTAATGCATAGATTGGTCATTCGGTCGAAAATAGTGTATCTGGACTAAAAGTCAAAAACATCACCTACACTTTGATTCATGGTCGTGTTCCATAATATGCTTATATGCATGCTAGTTTTATAATAACAAACTTGCAAGTTGTAATGAAACATGAACTCAATACTAAGACATCAAACATTGGACACATATTACAGACATCTGAATTAAAGGACCACATTAGTGTGAATTTAAGTTTGTACATAAATATCAAAAAGTGCTGAATAAGTAAGACTGTATGGGTGGCTCATTAATTTTAAATGGGAAAATGATGATGGCATATCCCGGCCTTTCTGGGAATAGTTCAGTTTCGGGCCATCATGTTAACCCAAGGGTGGATCCAGGAATGAGAAGTGCAGTGGGCTAAGCAGTAAAAAGAATCGTACTATACATACAAGATTTAGCTTAGGGCTGTTACCAAATCGAGCTTTTCTCAAACTATATACTTGTGTTTGAGCTTGATTTCTAATTTAATTTAATGACCCAACCTTAATGAGCTTTGAAGTCGAACACGGACAAGGTTTTGTCGTTTTGAGTTTGAATAATAAATCAAATCGAATTCGGACATAGTGATTTTTGGTTCGATCTGAACTCGAGTATATTGTTCACTTATACATTATAGAAATAAATTGTATTAACTCAGTTCTTTTTTAGTTGCAACATTGGTGAATTTCACGCTATTCACATACTCTACTTTGACTACATTTTATTTCTTAATGTATTATAAATTAATTTTTTGAAAATTATTTGTTAAATTCCTCTCGTTTCAAATTTTCAAAATTTGATATTTTTAAATTTTTACTAACAAGAATTCAAGAAATGAAAGATGTTAATGGTTAAACTTGTGTGTTAGCAAACACGAATAGTAGACCGTTGCAATTCAATGAGAACGGAGGAAGTATATATCTCAAAATTTAAACGCTTTAGTGCAATTTTAAAAATTTATTAATGATTATTAAAGATTTGAGTATTTATTGAATAATTCGAACATGAATCTGTTAACCGAGTATAGCCTAAACTTCTACATTCAATATTTGTATGAATTAAAATACGTTTATAAAATTATAAAACTAATAAGAAAAAACATACGGTTGTCTTTTAAACCATATGAGTATTTCCAATTTCAAAATTCAATTGAAATTTTTAATTCATTCATACCTGTCCACGCAATAAATAAATCATTCTCTAATTTTCAAATCTTTAAAAAATGTATAAAAAATAAATCACACTCTAATCTTTAATTCTATCTTTAATCATTACAAATTTATAATGAATTAACGCTATACTGAAAAAATCAATTAATGATCAAATAGATTTACAAAACTGAAAAAAATAATACACAATTACACAAAGTCATAAAATAATACAATATTTAACAAATAAAACACAATAACACAATTGCTCCAGGCCCTCTCTGTTAATTAAATATTCAAATAGATTTAGAATGGTTCACAAAATAATACAATTTTTAACAAATTATACAATGTTTAATAAAAAAAAGTCTATTAGAATTTAGAGTATACCTGGAGCTGGAGACAGCCGCAGAGGAGAGAGTCGGACTCGGTATCTCGGAGAGCAGGAGAGGGAAGACGGATGACGCAGGGCCCTGGAGCGTGGACGGCGGGAGGTGGCGCAGCTGGTGGCCGCAGGTCGGCTGGGGTTCGTGTCTCCGCCGCAGCTCCGCTACTCCCTTCGTGCTTCGCAGTTTCCAAATTTCCGCCAGTTCGCACAAGAAGGTCGCAGGTTTGCTTGAGTGGAATAGTCGGGTATTAGGCTTGGGCAGGGTTTGGATTAGTTTTGGGATGGGCTAGATCTTTGGGCTTTACCTATACTAATTATAAAAAAATGGGGTAGGCTCCCTCACTGTGATCCGCCCCTAATTACAACTATTTTGGAGGTAATAACACTCCAATAATGATGTACTACGGTACTAGTATCTCACTCTTGCTGTCTTGCATTGAACGTGATGTAATATACAATTACTTTAAATGTCAATGCAAAATGCATTTAAAAATTACATTATTATTTGATAGACGAATGATAGAAATCATGCATAAATAATAACAAATACAGAATATTAGGATTTGGAATTTTAATAAGCACACAATATAAATTATTGAAGACCTTTTTGCGAATTTCAGTTTTATTGTACTTTTTCTTTGTCACATATCATGAACTTTAAATCAGATGGATTTGTCACTTTCATGTCTTTCCATTGCGATGTATTGCCTACGCATAAATGTGAAATGATGGAGCCTCACATGCATTTATTTAGGATACCATAAGCCTCAATAATACGGGTTCCAAGTTTTATAACTTAGAGTGAATTGAATGATCTATATTACTTATTACTTACTACCTTCGTCCCGCTTAAAGGTTTCCATGTAAAACAGGGCCGGCCCATAGCAAGTTTGGGCTGTGCAATGGCACAGGGCCTAGAAAAAATGAAGGGCCAAATGAAAAAATATTGTACTACTATTATCGGTGTAAATTAGAAAAATTGGGAAGCAAAGCACTGTTGTCACGGCAACCCAACACGCAGGCCCTTCCCCATTCCCCATTAATTATTAAACAAATAATGATACACAACAATACAAAGTTATAAACAAAGACGTTCCCCTTCTATGAACGGCAAAAGCGCATAGATACCGAAGGTTAAATAGGTTTGCATTTTTTGTATTGAGTCATTCTGCAGAGCAAATACTTAATTAGGTTCTTAATAATTGAGTAACTCAATTTAAGAAATTGATATGATAATTAGGTAATAAGATTGTAAATCGTTCAACTTTGTAATCTAAAATATATTACGGGTAAATTAATATTAGTTTTCTGGGTTTTAAATTTATACTTCTCCATATGTTCAAAAAAAATTATACTTCTCCATTAAAAATTTGTAGTTTGACTATTACTAATTTGTTTATCATTAGTACAATGTTCATTTAAATTATCTTTCTATTTGTGTTTTAAAAAAAGTTTTTCATTGCACAGGGCCCCAGTTATTTCGGGACCGGCCCTGATGTAAAATGACAGCGTTATTTAGACAATAATCAAATAAAGTAATTCAAGTATATTTTGAGAAATAATTTTAATACGTTAGTTGGGTGAATTGAATGATCTATATTACTTATTACTTACTACCTTCGTCCCGCTTAAAGGTTTCCGTGTAAAATGACAGCGTTATTTAGACAATAATCAAATAAAGTAATTCAAGTATATTTTGAGAAATAATTTTAATACGTATATAATATAATGGGGTTATTGATGATAATTGTGATGTATTATTTGATATTTGATGATTAAATTGTCATTTAATAGTGTTAATTATTTCCTAAAATAGAAATGATAACCTATGCATGAGACGTTCAGAAAAGAAACTGTGAACCTTAGAATGAGATAGAGAAAGTATTTATATGAATTCATTTTACTCGTGTATTGCACGGGATGCAGATTGCAATTATTAAGTTCTTTGTAGTGATATGGAAATATGATGTTAAATATGAAAGTTCACAAAAATAATTTGTGACTAAATTAAGTGTATATACCACAATCATAGACTCCTACTATCTATGCTTTAATTTGATTTAGTTGAGATATGTCTTAAAATATGTGACTTAATATTTCCAAAAAAGGTTTAGTTTTAATTTCTATACAAATTATTTATATTCTTTATTACCATCAAATGTCCACATACCTTCATTCTTAGCTATGACTTTTCTATTAGAGTACATTCATATCTTCAACATTTTAATGATTTAAATGTTAAAATGTGTAAGAAAACACATATTAATACACACAGGAAGTGTTCTCCCCTCACTTCGATAGCAAACCCAGGAATGTTAGAAGTGGTAAAAAAGTTTATTGTCAGTCTCTTTAAGCTTCCTTCATAATCCGTATTACGCTAAGATACTCATTATCAAACAAATCATTCATTAATGGTCCATCTAGAATTACGAAAATTGCCAAGGAAAGAAATAAAGTAAGAAACTATATTATAAATTTGCCAAAAGTCATAGAAATGTCTCAAACTCAATACACCAGTTTTAGATTTTTTTCAAGCTCATTTTTTTTAAGTATTCTCTAATTGTGTTACACATAGATTATTGGGAAATATAATGTAAGGAAAATAGCTTAAGTATTCTCTAATTGTGTTACACATAGATATATGTGCAGCTCTATTCATATTCTATTTTCCTTCACATTTTCTTAAGAAAACACCACTTAACTTGGCATTTCTTCCTTTGAAGTATCTGATAGATAATTTATAAGTCCTCACAAGTGCACGAGTCACGATAGTACAGTGCTCCAGTAAGGGTCGAATCCACGGGAAAATGCAACTAAGTAATTGGAAAACTATTAATAAAAGTGGAATTAAATTTAACTAAAAAGAGTTTTGAGAATGTTTTGATTTGAAACCAAAAATGCAGAGCTTGAATTAAAATGAATGCAAGGAATTTAAATGATAAAAATAAAGTGATTAAATAACTAACATAAAAGTGATTGAGAATTTAGCAAGAGCAAAGATAGTCCAGGATTATGATTCAGTTACTAATTTTTAGTATTTGTGATTTAGTTAATCATTTGAAATTGAGGGTTCGTTCTAGGCAGAAATATGACTATTCTGTATGGCGTCCGGAATAAGTCACGTATTTTAACTATTAATCAATAAGAAATAATTAATTCAATAGTTAAAACTTAAAATCCATTAATCACAAAGAACTACGGAAACCCGATTTAGGAACCAAATAGATAACCTAACAAGACAGTTGAGTTATCTATTCTTTTATTCAAAAGAGCTCGAACTAATAGGCATGACATGTACTCTATTAAGGGAAAAATAATAAAAATACCCCAAACTTTGAAGAGGTGTGAGATAAATACCCCAAACTTGTATATGTTATTTAAATACCCCAAACTTTATATAAAAAGTTATTTTCGCAACATTATCATGTATTATTTCTTTCAAAAATGTAATTTTTTTGGGTTAATTGCATAATTTAAAATAGCAAATTAAAAGTGTTGCAATTATATAGATTTGAATTACATTATTTATTTCACAATGGAAATTTAGAATGTTAATTGTGTCTTCATAAATTCCAAAATATATTAAATTATGCAATTAACACCATAAACTTATATTTTAAAAAGAAATGATACTTGACTATGATGCTAAAATAACTTTTTATATAAAGTTTGGGGTATTTAAATTACATATGCAAGTTTGGGTATTCATCTCACACCCATTCAAAGTTTGGGGTATTTTATTTATTTTCCCCCTCTATTAATCCACTCAAACAACTTAATTAATCACATTAAAGTTGGCCAGGGGCGGACCCAGAAAAATCATCTTGGGGGTGAAAATATTTTTTGGAGGGTTCAAAATATTTTTTCGGAGGGAGAAAATTATTTTTCATATATATATACACACAAAAAAATAAAAAATTCTTGTTAGCCAACTCAAATTCCCTGTCCGGCTCCGACTCTTCACTCTTAGCCGTCCTTTCCCAACCGGCCTTCGGCACTCGGCTCTCCAAACTTGGCAGCCAGAATCCTCTACGTCCGGCTTATTCTCTTCCGGCCCTTGACTCTTCTCCCTTGGCTGCACTTTTTATAGCGAAGGATTAATGCCGGTTCAATCGTTCTGCCGCTATACCCGCTAATCTCCTAAACCTTCGCTGCCGTTCTAACTGACGAGACCAGCAGTCTCTCGCTGCTCTCCTGGTCTTTTTTTTTGCTCAAATAGAGATGTTTTACTTTTCAATAGATGTTTTATTTTTCTTTTGTTTGAGTTGAGATATAATTTTCAATAGATATGTTTGTGTGAAAAACACTATAATTGTAGAAGAGTGGCAAATAATTAAGAGAACCTCTTCTAAATGAATTGTATTCTAACTTTAATAATCCAATTAATTTGGGTTGTGTCAAATGACTCAAATGAATGGTATCCTAAAAATTCTGAAAGCAAAAACACTAAATGTAATAAAAGACACAATAATGATAGTTTAACGTAGATTGTGAAAGTGGTTCTTGTCTTCTTGACCCGCATGTTCATACGCTGCTACAAATATTTGTGAACAATATGATAGACTAAATTAAGTCTTACGAAGTATGAAGTAGTATATATATAGTTTTGGTAGAAAAGGGAATATTTTCTTAGCACCAAAACTCAAATCCTATTTTCTTGCGGAGTAAAAACATCCATAGTATACTTTGATTAATTTTTTATGGTTGATGAAAAAATACCTATTAGGAATAAGTTCAGCACTTCAGCCCCACAAAACTAGTTCAATGTCTCAGAAATTGCATTGCATTGGATCAGGAATCTGCAAAACGACCTCAACTCATATAAGGAAATGTTATAATTTGAAGTGACACTAAAATGTCTTATTTATAAAGAAATAAAATTAAATAATAATATAAAAAGAAGTAAAGATAGAGAACTAATTTAGGATAAGATTCTACCGATAGACAGTTGAATTGGTAAGAAATAAACAAAGAGAAACGGGACATATGATTATGGAAACATAGGTGAGCTCCTTGTCTCTGTGCCTTTCAGTTGGTTTTGGATTTGGATTTGTGTGTGGCGTCCACGCCTCTCCTCTTCCTCATTCTCTCTGTTCTTCCCTTTCTTATTATTCATCTTTAATTCATTTCCTTTTTTTGTAATCATAAATTGTCTCCATGTTTACAAATGGGAAGTAGAACCAACCGAGGTTCGAGAGATAAGCAATGAATTAGGGGTTGATGGTGATCATGTGCAGTGGAGAAGGGAAGCGATGTTGGTAGGAAGAGCAGTGGTGGGAGCGGGAAGAGCATATATTAATGCCTTCAAGAATAGCCATGATGTCAATGAGAAGAGCAGTGATACCGATGGGAAGAGGAGTGACCTCAGGTGGGAGAGCAATGACCAGGAAAGAAAGAGGCCTAAGGATGATGGGTGCGAATAGCGGTAAACTTGAAAAACACAATGAATGTGGAGTATTTTAGTTTTAGATCTTTGAAAACATAAAAGGATATTTTTGTCTTATAGATTATATTTAGTCATATTATTTTTTTAGTCATATTTAGGGAAATGAATTGCTTCGTATGTTTTAGTCATACTACAAAAAATTCCTCATCATATACACTAGTTGATTTAGTTTTCTTTTACTAACTTATATGTGTCTCTTTAAAAACTTTGAGCACAAAAATGTAAGCACAAAGCATACATTTAAAGATTCTAAACTAATATTTCATCTAGTGCTATACATAGACAACATAAATTTCATGCAAAACCAACATCACTTTTTATATCATAGCACGTTTTGAATGCATAGTTCCTTTAAAAGAAATTGACACAAACAGGAGCAAGGAAAATGTGATTTTTAAATAGAAGTACAATATGATTGTTATACGAGAATACCACTAGCAGTAATGACCTCGAGAGATGTCAAGTTGGTCACCAAGGCGGCAAAGGCCCATCTTGTTAAACTAGGTTAATGAGCTCATCCATAACAACAAGTCGATATAACTTGTCGATTACTTGGTACATTTGTAGATAATGAACATATATAGAAATTGCCATAACTTTTCATGCCTAAATATTACTAGTATGAGTTAAAACATGTTGCAGTTTGTGATTTAGACTTTGTGACAATGAAAAATTGGTGCACTAAAAGAAACCACACTTAGCACAAGGTATGTGAACATGGATTGCATACATGTTTTTATTTATTTATTTATACTTATTCTTCAAATACAAAACAACTAAGACTAAATCTCAAATCAATGGGGCAATTAATTGGATTACTATTTAGGATTCTTGAATCATGTAACTGAAAACAAGTTATGTAAATTGGAAGCGTGTAATTAAAAGCCAAAAAAATAAAAAAGAATCATCAATAGTTGAAGGAGGCTATTATTACCCCAAACTATCCCTAGTGACTTCATATGCCAAGAAACAAGCAGCATTTGCCGGAACGCTCCTAGCCATGGCCGGTCCAAACCCCTTGTAAAGGCCCTTTACTCCCTCCGCTGCAAAGATTTTTCTGAAGGCATCGATTGAGCCCGAGAACTTGGGCTTGTGGAAATCGTCAACCTGTAGCACACTCTTGACGACATCGGTTGGGTATACAAAAACCCAAAATGAGGCCCCTGCTAAGCCTCCAGCTATGACCAGAGAGCCTCTGCCAAGCCCTGAAGTATCATGACCGCCAGCAAGGTACTGTTTTGTGGCTTCGTAGACACCGAACATTGCAGCATTCCCAGGCACTTCACGGGCCATGGTGGGGATAAGTCCCTTGAAGAGTCCCCTTGCACCTCCTTCAGACTTCAGAACTTTCCTTGCCACATCCATTGGCCCAGAATACTTCACTGCTTCCACCGTTGCCCCCACTGAACTTGCAAGTGCACTTTGCACCTGCAATCTGAATTGTCAGCAGAAAATATAGTTATATAGCCATTTGGTAGCTTAGGGTCAGTTTCGAACTCAGAAATTACTTGGGAAAGACCATAGGGAGAAAAGTTGAAAGTAAATGATATTTGGAGGAAAATGGGTATAAAAGAGAGAATAGAACTATTGGAGTAATTACTCTCAAGCTTGGAAAATGTTGCCATGTTACATGGCAGTAATTACTCGTATTTAGGAAATAAAAATGTAACAGTCCTATTTTGGTATTCACAAACGTTTTGACTCCTATTTTGTAGTGCAATTTATTTTTATTTATTTTTCCATTATATAAACAATAACAAATCTAAGTATATGTACAAACAATTAAAATATTAACATTGTTTCATTTGCCATTGCATTCTCCAAGGTAAAGCCTAACGTACAAAAATAACTTTTGTTGGCACTTTTCCCTTGGCTTTTTCTGCAATCCAAAGTAAAACCTCAAATACACAATAACTTTCCTTGGCCTTTCCCTTAGCCTCTTCTGCAATCCAAACATACCTTTGGTGTAACAGTTTAAAAGGCATTGGGTCAACCGAATTCATATTCGAGCACAAAATTAAACTATATTATAAAAATTCAGTGCCAAATTTGTACAATCATGTTTTACTTGGGCAAGGCTGCATAAATCAGGTTGAAATTTGGTATAGGAATGGAACCATAATTTCAATTACTAATTCCTTCATGCATTTTTGCCTATATGAATACTGATTTTCTATGAGAACTTTACTTCATTTAAAACTACTCTGTAATAACCTAGTTAAGATAATAATACCACTTTTTGTAACTGATCCCTTAGGGTCTGTTTGGATCCTAGTAAGTGCTTGGGAACTGAAAAAAATGCTAAGGAAATTCATTTTCTTATGTATGGTGCAAATTAAAACACACCTGCATTTGATTAATTCAGTCGGGCACGCAAGAAAGGAAACAGCAGTTCCTGCTCCAGCCCCGCAAAGGATTTGCTGGCCCACAGTAAGGGGAATGCCTGGTTCTGATCTCACCAATGCCTCCATTTGACCTCTAACTGTGAAGAGCAGTGCATTGAAGGCTGCGACAGTGGCAAGTGGGGCCCCCATGCCTTTGTATAAACCCTTTGGACCTTCTGCAGCGATTGTCTGCTTCACAGCATCCATGGCACCCAAATATTTGGGAGCCTGCCCAGATAGTGGGGCAGGTTGACTTTGTAGCTTCACCTTAATAGTATCAAAAGGATGACCACATATCAATTGTGCTGCCCCTCCAACAGTCCCTGAGCTCAAATCCTTTGCCACATCACCCATCAGCAAAAATATGTTTCTTTAATTCTGCAGAAAGATACTGCCAGATCTTATGGTCAGACCATGTACCAGGCGAGCTTTAGAAAGTCTAGTAGGGAATGTTTTACAACACTCAGATAAGCCCCGAGGCTCTATTTTGTATATAATGGGACAGAGCAAACGGCCCAAGCCTCAATCAACACATTAAAAAGAGCAATGAAGCATTTAGAAATGTATAACCATGTTTAAATTCTTAAATTCAAACATCATACAGAGAGCTAGTGTGCATCACAGTCCGACAAGTGATGAAAGTTAACATACTCATACCACACATTAAGTGATCAACCATTAAAGCATTAAGCATCACAAGTCTAAAACCAAATAGGAGAAATACGAAAGCCTGGTAATTTGCTTCTTGGAGGGAGGAAGCGTAAACAACAATAGCCATATAATTTTAAATAATCAATTAACATATAAAGGTATTAAACAGTAATATTACCTATAATTGTGTTAAAGAACCTAGTTTTACACTTTTACATGAACCATTTTATCGTAATAATACTTTTACTGAGTAAGGACTGAATATTTTACTGGTTTTTAAAACTATATATATATTTTAGCTTTTACACTTTTTATTGCATTTTACTCTTTTTAACTTTTACTAAAGACTAAAAACCATAATTTTAAAAACACAGTAAAATTAAAATACACAGCTAATCATATTGTTTCACATATCACAATTCGTTATCCCCTTTCATATCAATCTTGATATTCAAGCGTACGGAGTATTATTAGGTAGCCTTGCTAAGAGCTAGTGTACTAGAAGGCGCTAGCCACCAGACCGTCATCTGATACCTGAATCTACTAAAAGCACCTGAACCTAGTCCAATCAATTCCAGAATAGATTGTTCATTGACATCTTTCCCCTAATGAGCCTATACCATGCACTGATCCTAATTCTAATATAACACCCCCAAAAAGACACTACCCAGCTCAATGAGAAAACTCCAATTGCAAAGAGAGCAAGAAACAAAGAATTCCAGTGTTCCACGGTACTAATAGGTATGATATAGAGCCCGTTTGGTAACACGAAAATCGGCTAATTCGGCTGATTTTGCTGAAATTTATGAAGTTCAAGCTGAAGTGGCTGTATTGGCTGATTTTGATGATTTATGAAAAAAAATTATATTTAAAATATTTGTTATAATCAAATCAAATGAAAAATTATATGAAAAATAGCTAAAATGATCATCTACAGTAACTTCAGCCAATACAGCCAGAAAAGTAACTTCAACCTTAATTTTTCATATTATTTCACAATTAAGCGAGCGAAAGCAAAAATTACGTGTTTGGTGAAAAAACTGGCCGATAAGCCTAATAAGCCGAAAAAAGGTGTCACCAAACGGGCTCATAATCCTAATTTTTCAGACCAAACGGTGATGTACAGGCTCCTGCTAGTAGTCACTTTCAGCTTCTTCACTTAATTGTGTTCCTAAATCAAAGAAACTTTGAGGAATTCTTTCCCTAACATATGATAGATCATTCTTGACAGGATCTACGACATAAAAAACTTGATGTACTTGAGATGGCATGACAAAGGGATCATTTGAAGAGCAAAACTTTGTGGTGTTAATACAATTAAGATCATACTCATCTTTCTCAGGTTGGTACCATTCACATCTGAACAATACAATCTTAAACTTTGCCCAGTAATTTATTTCACTTATACTTCCTTCGTTCCCTTTTAATTGCAACAGTCAACATTTCACGTTTGCCAACACACAAGTTTGACCATTAATATCTTTCATTCCTTATTAGTAAAGAATTTAAAAAATTCATATTTTGTAAATTTAGAATGAGAAGAATTTAACAATATTTTTTTTAAAATTTAATTTACAATACATTAATTAATAAAATATAGTCAAAGTGGAATATGTGAATAGTGCAAAAAGTCCTTGTAGACAACATCACCAATGATGGGATATTTGTCCTTGTAACTTGCAAAACTGTTCGTGACAGCCGTCACACTCACTCCACTATTCTGTGTTTTGTATCTTTCATCACGATCTTTTGTATAAAAGTGGTACCCATTTACAAAATACCCGGTATACCTCTTCGCAATAGGACATGGTCCTTTTGATAACCAAAATACATTATGCTCTTGCGCCCATCTACTTCATTTTTTTCTACACACCTGATCTTGATGTTCTCTAATCACAAAAGACCATAAATGTTAATACATGAATAGTCATATAAGAAAGTAGTATAATGTGTGTTTATTTTTACCGGATCAAATCTTCTAATTCTTTACTATCTGAATTGAATAAAACATAACGATGTGCAAGCTTGGACATCGAATCATCCAAGGTGAATGATTTTCTTTTTCTTCTTTTGATCCCTCCAAGTGGATATCCAGTGGCATTAAATATTGTGAACTCAGTATTGACATTCATATCAATGTTATTAGAGACAGTATGTAGCTTTCTATTAACACCATCTTGTAAAAATCTAGAGCAAAATGTCAAACATTCTTCAATCAGGTACCCTTCTGCTATAGATCCCTCTGGACGGCTTCTATTACGAACATATGCTTTCAACATGCATAGATACCGCTCCATAAAATACATCCAACGATATGACACGGGCCAACCGAGTCCAATCTCTCTCACCAAATGAATAGGCAAATGGACCATTATATCAAAAAAAAAGCATGGCAAAAAAATTTCTTCAAGATCACACAACACTTCCTTGATTTCTAACTCCAAGTGATCAAGCTCCTCCGGTAAAAATACTTTATCGCATATCTTTAGAAAAAAAGAGCCCAACCTAATTAAAGGTATGGCAACATGTTTAGGCAGAGTCCTTCTTAATGCTACCTGGAGCAAGAAATTCAACAAAATGTGAGCATCATGACTCTTATAACCCGAGACTTTCTTCTCTGGAACATGTACACAACGTGCAATATCTGATCCACACCCATAAGGTGATTTTACTCCTTTAAAAGCAACACAAAACAACTTTTTTTCCTCAGCGGAAAGTGAAAATTGTGTCTTCGTTAAAATAATATGTTTACCGTCATCAAGAAAGAACAGGTCCTTTGAATGTCTCGTTCATTAAAATAATAGCACCGCAGCATGTAGTTTGAATGTCTCGTTTATGAATTTATCATGTGTATCAATACCTTCAGTCCACAAGTCCTTTAAATCTTCTATCAAGGGCATCAAATATACATCAATGTCATTTCCGAGAGAGTGCAGTTCTGGTATCGATAAAGATAACATCAAGTTTTCTGACTTCATAGAGAACAAAGGGTGAATATTATAATTGACCAGCACCATTGGCCAAGTGCTATGAGCGATACTCATTGTTCGAAAAGGATTGAAGCCATCACTTGCAAGTCCCAGTCTCACATTTCTACCTTCTTTCTCAAATTGAGGGTGTAGTGAATCGAATTTCTTCCAAGCTTCACCATCAGCAGGATGTCTGAGCTTACCATCATTGGGACGTTTCATATCATGACATCTCATTTGTTCAGCGGTTTCCGAGCACATATATAACATTCTTAACCTCGGTTTTAATGGGAAATACCACAAAACCTTGGCTGGAACATTCCCTTTGTGCTTATGATTCTCGGCATCTTTCACTTTCCACCTAGACGTATGACATTTAGGACATGATTCTAGATTAGAATCTCCTTTCCAATAGAGCATGCAATCTTTAGAACATGCATGTATCTTTTGGTAATGAAGTCCTATGTCCTTTACCATATTCTTTGCTTCAGCAAAGGATTTAGGAAATTTTCCATAGGGAACTACTTCTTTGAAAAGGACCAATATTTCAGAAAATGTTGTATTGCTGAGTCCATCAATTGTCTTGAAAAGTAAAAGACAGATTGAAAAAGACAAGATAGTGAAGTTTTTGCATCCTGGATATAATTCTTTCTTTCCCTCCTCCAACAAACTATAAAAAAGTTTTGCATCTTCATTCATTCCTTCTTGATTCTCGTTTTCATGAATCTCTCTAAATCTCTCACCTAAAACTCTAAAAGCTCATCAATGTTGCCATGCATAACTGTATCCCTTTCATTGTCATGACCCCTACGGTCAGCTAACATAGGTCCCTTACCATGAAAGTTCCACTTCAAATAATTTTCCAAAAATCTCTTTGCCACTAAACGATTCCACACTTCACCTCTACGATACCAATAACGATTTATACACTTTTTGCATGGGCAAGGAACTGGACCGCCACGAGCTACTTTAGCAAAAGCTTGATCAATGAAATTGGACAATCTATTCTTGAATTCTAACGAGAGTCTATGTTAATACATCCAAGTTCTATCCATTACCATAGAGATCACTAAAATGGAGAAATAAAAGAGAATAAAATACAAATTGATTGCAACACCCGCTTATACAAAAATTAATTAATTAATTAATTAATAGAGCAAAGTCCTTTGTAAAGGAAGTTAAAAAGATACAAAATAAAAAAAAATGTTTTGAACTACTGAAACAAATATCACAGTAGTGCACAAATAAAATTGAAAATAGTCAGAGCAAAACCTTATGAAACTAAGAACAAAACACTAGAGATAGCACTTAACACTAATGTTAAAATTTAAGAATCTTTTTGTGCTTAATAATAAAAAATACTCCGTATGATTTTGACGACCAACGTGATAGTGGAGCAGTTTTATAAATGGATTTAAAGCGTCCGTTAATTCAATTAGTTAAAATAAGTGAGATACGAAGTTATATTTGAATCAAAATCAGTTATATAATGGCCCTTTTAAATAACACTAGTTTTAACTATATTAGTGATAGAGATCCAGCTAGTCTACTTACTCAGAATAGAAGGTTCGGGCGAGTTTATTCTAGAAGGCCTAAAATAGACTAGCGGTTATTAGTTGTGAGTTGTTAAGTAACTAATAACTACCTTCTGTTTGTAGAAGGATATCATCATTATCATTACCCCAGTGCCGCAAAGGCTCCCACCTACAGTGGGGTAAGGGGGGGTCGGATGTACGCAGTCTTACCCATGTACTAAAGTACAGAGAGATTG